CGGGCAGCCACAAACCATCTTGGGGCGGGCGCATGCGCAGTTCAGATTTTCGGCCGGGAGACGAGGAGAGACACAAGGTAAGTCTATGGACGTGGGCACCCACATGCAGACACCGTGGGACAGGAAGTGCCAGCAAGCTCAGAGGAGTCAGCGCTGGATCGGAGACCCGCAGCAGTGCTGGAGAGAAGGCTGAAAACGACAGGAAAGATGAGGAAGATCGGATTAAGAAACATCATTTAAGGTAAGTGCTGACATTAACATTGGGGGGAGGGAAACATTTTGTATCCTTTAATGTCACTTTAAAGTCATCTTAAACACCATTCACTTTATTGCACTTAGAATGAGGTCCAATGCAAGTCAGAAGGAGGTGAACTGCAGGTTCTATACATGCCGTCATTGAACTCTGATCTCAGAAACGCATCAAGTTGATCCTAAATGCAAGCAGAATGCAACTGAAAGCAAGTTACATTTGCCGATCGGCCAAAGCCCCTCAAACACAGGCCCCAAGCCTATTCACCATGGAGTAGTAGTAATAGTCCACAATAGGGATGCACCGATAGCGTTTTTCTGGTATTGAGTACGAGTACCGATATTTTCCTTTCAGTACTCGCCGATACTGAGTACCGATACCTGTGCTTCCGCCAGCATGGAGCCGGCTTCACAGGCAATCAGAAAGCCACCAGAATGCCCCCCCCCTGCGCTAAGGAGCATCTGCGAAGCTGTATATATAATATAGTCATGAGTCAAATATGGCGTGTACAAATGTACAAGTACACTAAAGTTCCTGTTCATTGGGAATTTGTCACAAAAAGTAACAAAATAGAACTTAATATAACATAATGTTAACTACCTTAAGCCCAGGTTGTGCAAGATGCCTGAAACCACCTTTATAACGATACGGAACTCATTCCATGTGCCCGAGAAAGCCTGAAGCTAAGTGCAAGCTTTCATAAACACTTACGCACAGTTGGAGTCCTTAAATGAGGTGGAACATCGGGAGACTTTAATTAAAGCAAAATGTACCTTTTGGAAATAAGTCTTCCGATGTTCCACCTCATTTAGGACTCCAGCTGCGCTTATGTGTATGGCAGCTGAGGAGTCAACCGAGAGGTAGAGAGGTTAGGTGCCAGTCCCTAAGTGGGTATTCACTTGTTCAGAAACACTTTGTCTTTGCCAGAAGAAGATGGCCAAGTGTTGCCGACAGCTTGCACCACAAAATATATTCAGTTAGCCACAGGACAGGTATCACCTACGTTTTTACTTTTCTTCTACTCCTACCCATAGCTAACACAGTACAACTACTGCTGGTTGGATTGTGCTACACTGCTCTTTCAACAATGTGGAATGCATTATGTTTTTAATTTCAACTTTGCTTCAAATGGAGCTCAGCCACACCACCTGCATCTCACTATTCAACGTAGACAGAAACCTATTTGGAGGCATCTCAATTAGATTATAGGATGTGAAGGTGGGCCTGAAAGGGAGAAGAATCAATATCTACAGATTTTACCCTTTAGACTCTCAATGCACACACAGGGGGAAGGAAAAGCTGCTTACTAGTTCCTTGTCTATGCAAGAAAAGTGGCAGTGCCTAGGTAGAGGGCCTGTAAGAAAAGCCCTATGCATGCCCAGTCCAATTAAGGTTCCGTCCGCACCTCTGCGCATGCTCAGAAGCCCACTCTTAGGGTCAAGGGCAAACGTGCGCTGGTTCATAGGCGTGTGCGCCCGCAAGCGCATCAGAGGATGCGCGCGCTTTCTGCAAAGAGTCGCACCGGAAGTGACATTTAAGGAACCATATACACTGAGTGGCCAGTTTATTATGACCACCTGACGTTTGTAGGCAAATTAGCTATAATTTGGCGCTGAAGTTGCTAGAGGGCCAGACCATTATAAATAGGGAATCAGGTTGTTTACCACGACAGTAGAAGTGATTTGTTTCTGAAGATACGGGGGAAACAACGCGATTTAACAGCCTTTGAACGTGGGATGATTGTTGGCGAGAGCCATGGAGCGAGTATCAGCAAAACAGCAGAATTCGTTAAATGTTCAAGAGGGGCTCATTGTTAAAGTGTTTAAAGACCGGACTGTCAGCCGAAAATCTGGGTCTAAACGTGCGAATTGCGGCCGTCAGCGACTAGTCAATGTTAGGGCAGAACGGAGAGTGGCAAGACTGGTACAAGACAACAGAAGGGCAACAGCGCCATGTCAGATTCCTCGCATCACCTTTCATCATCTCGTGGAGTCACGAGGCGGCCCAACGAAGTACTGATGGGGTGGTCATTATAATCTGGCCACTCAGTGTATAAATAGACAAGCTGCATTTTCCCTTTGCTGATTGATCTTCATCTGTTCCTGTGATTGTGTGCTTATTGTTATTCCAGTTGTCTTCAGTTCCCGACCCGGCTTGCCTTGACCCCTCTTCTGCCTGCTGCTTGTACCTGCTTGATCTTCAGCTCCTAACCTTTGCTTGTTCCTGACATCGCTCCCGGCTCTCGAATTGGTACCTCGTCTTCCGATTGGCTTGAACCTGGTTCGTGCCCCAGACTTGGCTTCCGTCTTCCTCTTCTGTTCGGCTACAGCCTAGGCACCAGCGCTTCCCTGTGCCCTTTTCTCCCTGTCCCCGCATCCAGGAGAGTTGGACAAGGGATGCAAGGGGCACACTCTCCTCCATTCAGTTCCACCTCAAGTTACGTGACAGGGCCCCTCCAACTACCCATGCACTGGTACTCACCTCTCCAGAGCTCCCTGGCCGCCCCTGTCTCCAACAAAGCTGGAGAAATCAACCAGTGCTTCCGGTTAGTGGGGAACATGTGACCTCCACCCCTGTGATGGGATCCCTATCACATGACTCAAGGAGTGACATCCCCTCACCAGTTGACACTAGGGATTTTAGTCCTGCCAATAAAGGCAGGACTGGCGAGGGAGTGCTGGCAAGGTGCATTGGGGGGTTCTGCAGGGGCATTTACAAAGACCCTGAATGTGCAAGGTGACAGTGCCTCTTTAATTAGGTTTATCACTCCCATTATCCCATTCTGTAATATTTACATTTGTGACAGGATCACATTAATAGCTCTTTAATAGACTCCAATTCATTTTCAGGCGTACATTCATCTCACACATAGTTTGATTTTGGCCTTTTAAGTAAGTTTTTATTCCAGATCTCCGAGTTGAGTCCCAGAGAACAGAAAACAACATTGAGAAGAACAGTGGCCTTGCAGCTTCAATGATTGCGCAACAGCGGACAGAAATCCGGGATGGATTATAAAAGCGCCTAACCACATGAAAGAAAACATGAAAACATATTTTTTTCTGGAATAAATTCCAGGCCGGCCATTAAATGGTATTCTGGAGGGAGACAATAAATTTAACGTCACGAACGAGAACCTGTCACATTCCCCAAACTCAAAAAGCCATTTTCTATCCTAGACAAATCTACACAGCACCTTTACTTTGGAAGTTTATGAAAGGAAAAACACAAAGCGATTACTATTTCATTTTAGCTAGAGGGTGAAGGCAACAGCCAAGGTGGATATCAATGAGATGTGAAGTTTCAGCACTGAATTTCTTCTGGCAATCATCCCCTCCAAATGTTTATATGATGTTCTTCCTGAGCCTTCTCTCTATTTGGTATTTAGCTTCTATGGACTGTAAATCCCTCCTATGTAAATAAGAGGGGGCTGTACATAGGTTCTTGAACACATCCTGTCGCAATACACCTCTCTGATGCAAGCAGTAGGCTGGCTCTTGGGAGGAGTTATGCAAATATGAAAATTCCTTGATGGGTGGATGTCAGTCTTGTAATGCCCACCCTTGTGCCACGGAAGGGGGTCCCCGCAGACAGCCGGAAGTCGGACACGCTGTTACCCGCAGCCCTGTGTCCAGCGGCACCTGTCTCCTCCGTTCCTCGCCGCTCTGTGATGTCCGCCGTGTGGAGCTGCCGTGTAGTGCACACGAGCGCACTGTGTGTCTTCTTAAAGGTACAGCGCACGACTTGCATTTGCATACAGACCCCCCTAGTTAATGCTTACATCTGATGCTGAGCCTCCATGATTAACAAAAGTGAAATCCAGTGAATGAAAGGGGCAGAACAGGGAAAGTCCGGCTGAGGAGGAAAGAGCTAGATAACGCTGACGTCCTCCAGCCAGGAAATGGCTCAGTCCAGGAGAGGAGCCGGTACAACAGAGCAAGACTCAAGGGGAGGCCGGAGGTCAGCTTTAATATACAAATAGAAGTTTATTAAACATTTCCACTAGGGATGCACCATATTAGTATCGGTATCGGTGTCGATACAGAGTGTTTGGGTACTCGGAATGCTCCCGTTGTCTATCACGATACCTGAACTTCCGGTATCAGAAAGCCGGGCGGCGAGTCATTAGATTGGCCGGGAAGCCGGCTCCATGCTCTCTCGTCACTTAGTGACAAGGAAGAATGGAGCTGGCTTTCCAGCCAATCAGGAAGCCAGGCAGCATGTAATGACTCGCCGCTCAGCTTGCTGATTGGTCGGGAAGTTGGCAAATCAGGAAGCCAACTTCCCGACCAAACAGGAAGCTGAGCAGCGAGTCATAATCTGCCCCCTGGCTCCATGCTTCCTCGTCACCTGCTGATGAGGTAGCATGCAGTCGGCTTCCCGGCCAATCAGGAAGCTGGGCGCCATGTAATAACTCACCGCCCAGCTTCCTATTTGTTTGGGAAGCGGTCATTAACGCCCCCCCCCCCCCCCCCCCCGGCTTTCTGATTGGCCAGAAAGCCGTCTCCATGCTTCCTTGTCACCTGGCAACGAGGGAGCATGGAGACGGCTTTCCAGCTAATCAGGAAGCCCGGGGGCGAGTCATTACACGCTGCCCCGCTTCGTTAATGGGACTTCCAGCATCAGTATTCGGCAAGTATTGAAAAAAAAATATCGGTACTCATATTCGATACCGAAAAACCGGTATCGGTGCATCCCTAATTTCCGCCATTAGACAAGACAATACGAACATATAACCGTGCGTTCACCATACCTCTCTGCCACCGGCTTGGCGATGTGATCAAACACTGCTTCCTGCTTTGCGTCTTGGTCAAAGGTCTCTTGAAATCTGCAAAACATCCAGCAATTAGGAGCTTTTCTCGCCTCGGCGTGTGAAACACAGCCCGATTCATGATGCCAATGTTTTCCCAGATAAGTCGGCCATCCTGTACCTCGTAAAACACGGGCAGAGCGAAACAAAGTGCTCTTCTGTTCCCTGGCACTGCACTCCCCGCTACTATTGTCAGCACAAGCCCCGGCTGAGATTAACTATGGGCAGTAAAATTCACCCCGCTCGGTGAAAATGACATCAATATGGTATTTTTATTTCCCATTATGAAAACACGGGGAGAAGAGGAGGGTGCGGGGAGCCAGGTGCGCACGGCTGACTGTTCCTAGATTTGCGCAGCGCCTGCTCGACCAACACGAGGAAATTAAACACGTTCACAGTGAAGCCGATTCAGAAATCATTTTCTTCACATGTCTATGTGAAACGCTGTCAGTCACCAGGAAGATAAATACAGAACGGCCTTCTTAATACGGAAAGCATTTACACGTCACCACTTCTATCACAAATACATAGAAATAATGACTCCACTTGCAGAATATTCCCCGACTGCTCTCAGTTGGACATTATGGATTATGCCGGGATTAGAGTTTGTAAATTCCAGAATAGGTTTTCTATTAAAAAGACCAGCGGAAAGATTTTAAAGCAGAACCCCAGTCAAATATAACAAAATAATAATAGCACATTACAGGGGCGTCCCGAGGCCCGGGTGTCACCCGGAGCGGAGACCGGGTGACACCCCACCCTGACGTCATCGCACATGCGCGGCCATCTTATTGACGCCTGCCGACAGCCATCTTGCTGATGGACGCCGGCATAGAGAGGAGGGGACGTTCACCCGGCGGGATGAGGTATGCGGCCGGGTCCCCTCCTCTCTCCTGACACTGTCGGGCTCTCGGTCCATGACCGAGTGCCCGACTTTTTAGAGAGGGTGACACCAAAATGACTGTCAGCCATTTTGGTGTATGTATAAAGTCACTTGCATTCCAATAGAATTTCAAGTCAAAAACCGGTTTATTGACTCGATTGCTATCACATCATATAGCGACGTTTCGGAACAACAGCGGTTCCTTCTTCAGGCAAACAGAATGTGAGAAGGAACCGCTGTTGTTCTGAAACGTCGCTATATGATGTGATAGCAATTGAGTCAATAAACCGCTTTTTGACTTGAATTTCTATTGGAGTGCGAGTGATTTTATACATACACTTATCTTGGAGTGGTCAGGAGTGCGATGGGTACACTGAATTTTGGACCCCTCTATTGGTGTC